CTGTCTCAAAAGATAAAGTGGGGAGTAATTGAGAAGGACCTGAAATATTTTCATACACATGTGAGACTGCACACCCATCTGTGTATGTGCACACACCTACACGAACACATTGTATACCACATACACATACATGTATACATACCTATACATACAAACACAACACAACAATTAGAGAAATTAAATCTTTTATGAAGCTACGATGGGCTCAGAGGGAAAGTGTAAAAGTGCATTAGCAATCTGAAACACTTTGAGGTCTTTGAAGAATTTTGCTGGGATTTTGTTGGGCATTGAACTGAATCTGTAGATTGCTTTTGGTAACATTGCCATTTTTACTATGTTAATTTTGCTTACCCAAGAGCATGGGAGACCTTTCCACTTTCTGGTGTGTTTTCAATTCCTTTCTTCAAAGATTTAAAGTTCTTGTCATACAACTCTTTCAGTTGTTTGGTTAGAGTTACTCCGAGATATTTTATGCTATTTCTGTCTATTGTGAAGGAAGTTGATTCTCTGATTTCTTCCCCAGCCCTTTTATCATCTGTGTTCAGTAGGGCTACTGATTTTTTGAGTTAATCTTATATCATACTACATTGCTGAAAGTGTTTATGAGTTGTAGAAGTTCCTTGGTAGAATTTTTGGGATCACGTATATAAACTATCATATCAGCAAACAGTGAGAGTTTGACTTCTTCTTTTCCAATTTGTATCTCCTTGATCTCCTTTTGGTGTTTTATTGCTCTAGCTAGGACCTCAAGAACTATATTGAATAGATATGGAAAGAGTGGACAACCTTGTCTTGCCCCTGATTTCAGTGGATTCACTGAGAGTTTCTCTCCATTTAGTTTGATGTTGACTGTTGGCTTGCTGTATATTGCCTTAATTATGTTTAGGTATGTTCCTTGTATCCCTACTCTCTCCAAGACCTTTATCATGAAGGAATATTTTATTTTGTCAAATGCTTTTTTAGCATCTAATGAGATGATCATATTGTTTTAATTTTTCAGCTTGTTTATATGGTGGATTACGCTGACAGATTTTCATATGTTGAACCATCCCTGCATCTCTTGGATGAAGCCAACTTGATGATGGTGGATGATCGTTCTGATATGTTCTTGGATTCAATTTGCCAATATTTTATTTAGTATTTTTGTATCAATGTTCATGAGTGAGATTGGTCTGTAACTCTCTTTCTTAGTAGTGTCTTTCTGTGGTATCAATGTAATTGCAGCTTCATAAAACGGGTCTGGCAACGTTCCTTCTGTTTCTATTGTGTGTAATAATTAGTTCTTCTTTGAAAGGGTGGTAGAATTCTGAACTGAAATCATCTGGTCCTAGGCTTTTTTTGGTTGTTAGATTTTTAATGACTGTTTCTATTTCTTCAGCAGTTATAGGTCTGTTTAATTTGCTTCTCTGGTCTTGATTTAATTTTGGTAAGTGATATTTATCCAGAAAGTTGTCCACTTCCTTTAAGTTTTCCAATTTTGTAGAGTACAGGTTTTCGAAATATGATCTGATGATTCTCTGTATTTCCTCTGTGTCTGTTGTCATGTCCCTCTTTTCATTTCTGATTTTGTTCATTTGGATATTCTCTCTCTGCCTTTGCTTAGTTTGGAAAAAGGTTTGTCTATTTTGTTGATTTTCTCTAAGAACCAACTCTTTGTCTCATTGTTCTTTGTATTGTTTCCTTTGTTTCTATTTTGTTGATTTCAGCTCTCACTTTTATTATTTCCTGCCATCAGTTCTCTTAGGTGAGTTTGCTTCTTTTTGTTCTAAAGTTTTCAAATGTTCTGTTAATTCACTAGTGAGGGATTTTTTCCAGCTTCATTTCGTAGGCATTTAGTGCTATTAACTTTCCTGTTAACACTGCTTTCATTTTGTCCCATAAATTTGTGTATGTTGTGTGGTCATTTTCATAGAATTTTAGAAAGTCTTTAATTTCCCCCTTTATTTCTTCCTTGACCCATTGATAATACAGGTGAGCATTGTTTAATTTCCATGTGTTTTTGGGTTTTTGGAATTGGTATTTTTGTTGACTTCTAGTTTTATACCATGGTGATCTGATAAGGTACATTAGGTTATTCCAATTTTTTTTGTATTTGTTGAGGTTTGTTTCTTTACCGAGTATGAGATCAATTTTTGAGAATGTTCCATGAGGTGCTGAGAAGAAGGTATAGTCTTCTCTGTTTGGATGGAATATTCTATAGATGTCTGGTAAGTCTATTTGAGTCATAACATCTGTTAGTTCTCTTATTTCTCTGTTCAATTTTTTGTCTGATTTACCTGTCCAGTGGTGAGAGTGGAGTGTTGAGGTCTCCCACTATTAGTGTGTGGGGTTTAATGTGTGGTTTAAGCTTTAATAGTGTTTCTTTTACATATGACAGTGCCCTTGTATTTGGGATATAGATGTTCATTATTGAGATTTCCTCTTGATGGATTTTTCCTGTGACTAATATGAAACGATCTTCTTTGTCTCTTTTGACTGATTTTAGTTTGAAGTCTATTTTGTTAGGTATTATGAAAGCTACACCAGCTTGTTTCTTAGATCTGAAAGACCCCCTAAAAGGGTGTCTCACTCCTTGGGGATCCCCCTACCCAAGTACCAAGACCAGTCCACTGGATGCAAAAGCAAGAGGCAGTTTAATGTTTACACATGTACCTGCAGGTGCTGCAAAACAGCTCAGCTGAATAAGCTAGCTTAATGAGCACACCGGGCTGAGAATACATCATGCATTTATAGGGGGTTCAGGGGTTACATAAAAGATGGCGTAGCCAAAAGCATTTCTTTGGTTCCTATATATTCGGTGGGCTAGGGTCGAGTTTAGGACAGTGTTGTTTATCCATTTGCAGTTTTATGGAAAACCATAAAATCTAGATAATGCTAAGTTCAGCTCTCTGGGTATTTTGACAGACTGTCACAGTGGTTAGCTGTCTTCCTGTCGGCCCAGTTTCTACAGAGCTAGCTGACTGCAGATATCCTGTACAGCTGAGCTGAGCCCCTCCTGGTTCTGTAAAATTTGTTTTTCTAAGCTTATGTAGATGACCTAATTTGAACCTTGCTACAGGCTGGGACGGGGGTTCTTCAGATCCATTTGATTGGTATATTTTTTCCCAACCCTTTACTCTGAGATAATATCTGTTGTTGAGGTTGAGATATGTTTCTTGTATGCAGAAGAAAGATGGATTCTGTTTTTGTATCCAATCTGTTAGCCTGTGCCTTTTTATAGGTGAATTGAGTCCATTTACATTAAGGGATATTAATGACCAGTGATTGCTATCTCCTGTTAATTTAGTTTTCATTGTTGGTGATGTTAGTTTGTGCATTTTTTCTTTTTTGGGATATGCTGTTATGAGATCATCAGTTTTCTGTGTTTTTGTTGGTGTAGCCATCTTCCTTGGGTTGGAGTTTTCTTTCTAGTATTTTGTGTAGGGCTGGGTCTGTGGCTAGGTATTGTTGAAATCTAGATTTGTCATGGAATATCTTGCTTTGTCTTTGCTGGGTATATTAGTCTGGGCTGGCATCCATGATCTCTTAATGTCTGCATGATGCTTGACCATGACCTTCTGGCTTTCATGGTTTCCAATGAGTAGATTAGGAACATGGGGACCTTGGAGGACGGCTGTAGGGGAGATGGGAGAGGCAGGGAGGGGAGCAGAGAAAAATGTAGAGCTCAACAAAAATAAAAAAAGAAATCTGAAACACCAAATAAACACAAGCCTCACCTACAGAACCCAATGATAATAATAATAATATTCACTTAATTCTAAATTCTTAGAGCATCTGACACCTGGCCCATTGCCTTGTTTTCCAGAACTACCTCAGAGCTCTTAAAGCCTAGTGGGTGATATGAAGTGGTTACTGTGAATCTAAAGCTTGTTCCAAATATTTTGAGGAAATGGTTGATCCTTAGGTGTCACTGTCACCTCGTAAGATACACCACTGTGTTCAGAATGGTATAGGTTAGATACACCACAGTGGGGTATATCATACTTTATATGACTGGTTATATGAAAAGTCAATAATAAAATGCTATATGGAAAATATTTAATACTTCCCATATTCCAAACACTTCTATGGACACTTTACTCTTGCTTTAGAGATTTATTTTATTTCAATCATGTGTATGTTATGTGTCTGTGTGTGGTTATGTGCACACAAGTGTAGGTGCTCTCAGCTGCTAGAAGAGGGCTCAATCTGGTCATAGGCAGTTGTGTGCCAGAGGATCAGGTTTTGGTGTGAGACTTTGACTCCTAGTAACACCAGATTCAGTATCACAATGTAGGCAGAGGCTGCATGTTTGTTTCTGGGCTGCCCAAACCCAAATAATTACATAAAATCTGTATTAATTACAACGCTGTTTGGTCCATAGCTTCAGTATATTTCTAGCTAGCTCATTCATCTCAAATTAAGCCATTTTATTGTTTTATATTTTACCAAGAGGCTTGTGGTTTACTGGCAAGTTTCCAGTGCATCTGTCTCATGTGGCACATATGTGGTATCTCTTTAACTCCTCCTTCTGTCTCTATATTTCTTTTGTAGCCTGGCTATATTCTATTAAGCCATTGGCCGAAAGCAGCTTCTTCATTAACCAATAGCAATAAAACATTTATAGCATACAGAGGGGAATCCCACATCCCTACATAGTCTCACCGACATGGCCCCCTGAATGTGAGCTGAACAGGACAACAACAATAGACATGTCAGAGTGAGGGTAGAGACCATGAGGCCTCCATCCTACTGAAGGAACTATGGGTAACTAAGGAATGCTGGCCGCGGGAGAGTCTTCCCCAGGGAAGAGCACTGGTCATCCAATGACAATTGGTCATTCCTAAAAGTTATATGTAAATATATAGACGGAGAAGGTTATATTTAGGAATATATGTATATACACATGTAAATGTAATAACAATGAATGCAAAAGAGGGCATGAATTTGAAAGAGAGAAAGGAGGAATTTATGGACTGTTTGGAGAGAGCAAAGGAAAAGCAGAAAATATGATCATATCATAATCTCTCAAATAAAAATATATTTGAAAAGGAAAAATATTAAAAGTAAAAAAAGGTTTCTTTCTGGTCATTTTCTGTTATTTTTATTTAATTTATTTATTTTTGTTTGCTTTTAAGACAGGATATCTCTGTTGATTTGGAGTTTGTCCTCAAGTTGACTCTGTAGACCAGGATGGCGTGGAAATGGTCGATATCCTCTTATCTCTACCTCCTGAGTGCTGTGATTAAAGGGCTGCACCTGCATATCTGAACTGCTTAAAAATGCTTAAAGAAAATATATGAATGAGAGTCCGTAAGTTTTGGAAACATTAAGAATGTGCTTTAATCCTGAAAAATTTACTAATGCTAAGACTGAAATAAGATTTCAACTTTTGCTGACTGTAATGTGACAGAATCATTGCATTTTATCGACTGGAGATTCTCAGTCTCCTTCGAGTCTGCATAGTGAGCTGGCCCTCGGTGCCACTGAGTCTTGGCTCTGGACTAGTGTTCTCTGAGTGTGCTATCCTGTTTCCAGTTCCCCAATACACAACAGGGTTTCCTTCTGGGCACTGAAAATTATCTGCCTTTCGACTCTAATTGTAAGTAGGACATGAAAACTGCTTTTCTTGGAGAAGTTAATTTACACAGTTACCCAGACTTGGAAAGGTTCCCATAGAAAATACAATACCTACCACGGCCCAAGTCAATGAATTCATTAAAAGTGTCACTAGCTCTGATCTCGGTTGCCATGGTGCAGCATTGAGTGAAGGCTTGGACACAGCGCGGGCCTATTTTCACACGGTCTGCTCGCTGCTCACAGGTTTCATAGTTATTAAGTCTGGCTCCGTCATAACAACACGTCCTTATCACTGGATGCTTGTATGTAGAAGCTGAAACGATGTCAAAACGCGTGTCCTTACCACCAACAGTGGAAGGAATCTCAAGTGTTATTTTCTCTACCATCAAAGGACTGACTCCCTCACTAGATACTTGGGAAAAACAAACATTTTAGATAGTTTTAGGGGAGGAAATAATAAAGAACTGCTTTGTTCGGGGTAAGGATCTGGACAATGAAATCTGAGTTTGCGTGAAGGATCATTTGAGAGGTGAACTGAACCTCCACGAGCATTTTCCCCGCCCGCTGCATTGCAATTAGGGAAACCCCGTGTCTTCTGCTCTGGTCTTGAATGCAGTAACCGCAGTGCTATACAACTTGTGGACTACCTTGTTCTGTTATTTTCCGCCTCAGGTAATCTGGAGGCTGGAGACTCATGTCTTGGGCTTCATCTAAGAGTGGGAGAATGGAGTGAGGGAAGAGTGGTCAGTATCATACTGTTGTTATATTACTTAAAAATAGGTCTTTCCCTGCAATATGACATGTAATATTCTTGATTTTGGAAACATTAAGAATCGTTTGTTGATTTAAATATTTGACTCGTCGCTAATTGTTTATTTTTCCTAAAATCATGAGCCTAGAAAGATCCTCCATGAGCAAGGCTGCCCTGGGGACTGTACCACTTCTGTTATGAAGAACACGAATCCACTAGAGCCAGCGGGATTCTTCTGAACTAACAGGCAAGCTGACCTCTGACTCCCGAACAGCCACCAAAACATTAGAATACCTTGAATTTTCAGTTCCTGCTGCCGATCACTTACTGGCGTGAGATTTATTTTGAAGGCTTTATCTGTGAGACAGAAGGAGGTGTGGAAGGCATAAAATCCTTCTAAAACAGTCCCACGACGGTATTCTCTTCCATATCATTGCGGCCCTCTCACAACCTCTAACAAGCACTGACTCCCTGGCCAGATACCCAACCAGGACTTCCCACCACCCTGGCCCAGGGCCTCATCATCACCTTGGAGCAGTTTCCATTAGCTACATTACTGAAAAGAATTACTGGAAAAAAACAAAGTTCTATAAATGAATCTTAGATTGAAGATTACTGTGTTCATTGACGTCAAAGTGTGTCATTCCGTTGGTAGACGCGTCTTCTCTATATTTAGCCTGAATCATCCATCTACCGTATCTGTGGAAGCAGATGTTTGAAATCATGGAAGGCAACAAAGAGTTTTAATTTATCAAGAGAATCTCTAGCAATATCTGTTTTGAAGAGGTAGGAGTATGTATGAGTGTATGAAAGCTCAAACACACACACTTAGACATATACCCTAAGTAAAAGTTTGGAGGAAAGATATTTCAAAAATAAATGGAAATAACACAACATTTCAAAAATAAAATAAATTGTTTAACAATAGGTTTTTATATCATATTATTTTCCTACATATTTTGCTTAAATATCACAATTTTGTTCGGACAACTGATTACCATTTTAGAATTTAATTAATCCAGGAATTTATGTTAAATTCACAACATAGTATAAAAATTGATAATAATGTGTCTGGAAAGACGGCATGCCAGTGATGTAAATCACACCTCATCTGAGCAAAATTGTATTTGGAAACAAAGCGTGGCTTGTTTTAAAGAATAAAACAACCTGTCCAACAACCTTCATCCAAAAACTTTAGTACGGTTGGGCAGTGGTAGCTCATGCCTTTAATTCCAGGACTTTTGGAGGTACATCTCTGAGTTCAAGCTGAGCCTGTCTACAGAGTGAGGACAGTCAGGGCTACACAGAGAAACTCTTGTCTTGAAAGACCAAAGACCAATATTCAAAAGATAAGAAGCATACAGTACAGTATAATATAGCTGCCCTTGTCTAGTATAGTACAGTATAGTACAGTACAGTATAGCTGCCCTTGTCGTAGACATCCTGCTCTGTGTTCCTTGAGAGCAGGGATTGTGGACACTTGACTTCTATTTGGCAATTTGCTCTCTTCTTGTGAGTTCCACACACACGCAGTGCTCATTAAACATGTATTTTATAAACCTCTGTATGAGCATGGTCTTAAATCCTTGCATATGAAACCAATAAAACAAAATTTTTTACACACACACATAGGTTTCAACTAAATCTCTGTAACTGCTAGGTATAAGTGCTCTCCCAATAGACTATAACCCAACGCCTTCTCCCTAGAGATGGACACTGTTTGGTTGAAAAGGCAAAAAAGGACAACTGAATATTGTTTTCTCTTCTAAGTTGATTGTTCTCTATATATAATAAATGGGTGGGATATTTTTGGAACTTTTTCTGTGTGTGTGTGCTTGTGAGC